TAAATAAAGCCCTATCAGCCATCACTCTTTCCATGTTCCATATATATAGGGTAAATTCTGTCGCCAGCATGGACGCATTCCAGGTTATTGATGTCACATTCAAACACTTTCCTTTGATTACATGCAGAAAGGACGCAGAAGCACTATAGTGCGTGATGGAAATAGAATCTCGTCACTCACGAGTTTGCACAGTGCAAAATGTTTTTTTTGTCATTTTGAACTATAATTACTCAATAAATTATTACTGCAAACAGAAAATTATGCAAAGTATGCAAAGTATGGGTTCTATTCACTGTATTTTTAAGATAGCCTCATATTATTATTCTCAACATACTATGGCATGTACTATGATATTCTCATTTCTTACACTTTAGGATTGTACCTGTGATGAATTCTGTCCTGAATGTTCAGTTGATTTCATGTTAGATGTCAAATGCACAGATGATCAAACAAGGCATGTAACAAGTCGTGATCTAATGACAAGTAATCCAAGAGTGGTTCCGGTAAGTAAAACCACATTATTATGTACCTGGTAATGCCTGGCCTTGTAACACTATGGTGCACCCACACAGCATGGCAATAATTTCCTATATTACGTCCGGCCTCGCACGCCTGGTTTTCAGCAATCAAAACTAAACGTGTCATTCTAAAATACAATGTATGTTTAAGGTTCTGCCATGGTAAAATTGTAATTACACCTCACGAAACGTGTCATTCTAAAATACAATGTATGTTTAAGGTTCTGCCATGGTAAAATTGTAATTACACCTCGCGTCACAAAAGCTGTATCTGTACCATAAATATTATTTCAGACCTTGTCATTCTTACATACATGAATTATTGTTACTCTTATTATCAACTAAATTTAGGTTGAAAACATTAGTTCATTATTTGACTACTACCATAAAAATCCTAATTGAGGCCGCAGCTGTAATTAAAATAAAATTTGTAATGGAGGACTTCAGATTTGTGAAGTCTAAGTGTGGCTTTAATCAAAGACACTAGTGTCTTTGCTTTAATTAGGGCATTCACGATGGGAAAATTTTTCAGAAAACATAATGATATGCTACTGAGATGCACTACATTCGATTGCAACATAAAAGAAACTTTGTTGCAATTCTAAGTGCTCTTTTTCAAACACAGACACACTTGTACACATAATAAATAAATACTGTACAACATACTGCACAATAAATAATATTTACAAATAGATTTTTACACATCAGGAAAGAGTGAAAGGCCTTAATTTGGTTCTAAAATAGGCGTCATGAAATGTCAATAAAAATAAATGTTCACATGATAACCAAAAGATACTCATTTATTTTTTTAATTTTGTGTTTCACAGGTGAATAACTTACTTGTTTTCATTCGTAATGTTGCAATTGTTGATTAGTACTCAGTAGTGACTATAATAACGTACAAAAAATAAATTTGTTGAATTGTTATGAAATGTAATTAAAATTCAACTTAGTTACATCGTAAGCGAATGATTTTGGTCACATGTAAACGCTTGATACAATATCCGCAGAGTTTTTTCATAAACTAGTTGACCTGAAACTGTGTTCTTTGACCTGACTGGTCAAGTCGCTAATTAACCAATCAAAATACTGGATGGTGTCAACCTGTTTGAATTACCTTAGCTCAATTAAATATGTTAATGACCGTTCAGTGACTTCATGGAAGATATTTACCGATGTTGTACCAATGTTTTGATTTGATTGGAAAACAGAATGATTTTTTTTAATCAAGAAATTAGTTGTTTTCAAAAGATAAACTGAGCATTGAAGAAGGATTTAACACTTTTTATGGTGACAACAGCTCATTAACGAAACAAAGTTCACCCATTTATGCTTAGCCAAAACAAACATCATACTCGTCATATACGAATAGGCGTCTACGACTTCGGTAAACCTAAATTGGACTCTAATCTTGGCATCAGGAAAGATTGAAATGTTTGAAAAATTACACCTAAATTAGAGATACATGTATGGTATATTTCTTTTTGAAATGTGTACTGGTAGTTTAGTTTGTATGGCACATGCATATGTGAAAGTTTGGGATGTGTGACGTATATTAAAGCTGCAGCCTCAGTTGTGTTTATTACGATATTACAGTAGAGATATTTCTGTCACTTTGTTCCTGCTAGTCTTATTGACAGCATCATGTGTTGTGAATTCTAGGTGACGTCACGACATAGAGATGATGAAGCTGGAGACTATGGAGATAATGACGGTAATCCAAAAATTCTTTAATCCTGGACAATGCCATGTTTCCTCATTGCTTACCTGAATTTCATCAACACATCATCTCTTGATAGCCTCCATAGATATCCAATATTGAATGGTATATAATGGCGTCGGCATGTGTTGTGTTTTACAACTGATGTGTATTTTTATTTTAATTCAAATAATGCTGAAAAGATAATATTATTGTTATGGCAAATTAATACATATTAAAAATGTACAGGATATGCGCAGGTATCAGTAAACAACATAGATAATTTGATTTATGTTTGGATGGGACCCTTTTGCAAAAAACGATTTTGACTCAATATTTCAGTCTTTCAAACATAGATAATGCCGAAAAAACATAGATAATGGCCCGTAATTTTATTTTGAGAACAAAATATAGTTGTTTTCAATGCTTCATTGCCTGCTGATCCATTTTAGCTATCCATTGATGTTTTCAGCAGGCAACGTGTTATTACTATAACCTGGTGTATACAGACTACAAAGTGTAATACCTTCTTAATATTTTCCCCACTCAGATATACTTATTGTGAAACTAAGAAAAGGCCAGGAACTGAAGTTAAAAGCATATGGCAGGAAAGGTTTTGCAAAGGAACATGCCAAGTGGAATCCTACAGCGGGTGTATCATTTGAGTACGATCCTGACAATACATTTCGTCATACAGTGTATCCGAAGCCAGAGGAATGGCCAAAGAGTGAATACAGTGAATTAGATGATGATCAGTGTAAGTATCTATAAGATAGCAGTGTCTGTACCATCACTGTCTAGCTTCATCTGTGTCAAGTCTTTGTTTGTCTTTTTTTAAAAATCATACAAAGATTTCATATTTTATGAATTATTCCTATTCCTCATATATATTCACACATGATTAATTTGTGTACCTGGGTGATCTGTTCACTGATCATCTTTAATATGTATGAAAGTGCACATGGATGAATTAATAAATACTGGCACTGTTCACAGTACGGTAAACAGCAACATTCACTATTCCAGTAACGAGTTCACATAGAAATCATCTATCTTGTGTTTGCATACCTCTCTCACTTGCATCTTTTGTTCACAGACCAAGCACCGTATGATGCTATGGGGAAACCAAACAAGTTTTATTTGAATGTGGAATCCTGTGGTGCACTAAGACCAGAAAACATTGTTCTCTCTGGTTTGGCTGTTCTCAAGAAAAAGTTGAGTGATCTCCAAACACAGCACAGTCATGAGATGCAAAGTGATGTTCTTACCATTACATAAAACTCCAGTGTGAAAATGTTTGTCCAGGAATGTGAACTATTGTCTAAATTATGCATTAATTAATTGTGCAGATTTTGTGCAGTGTTTATCAACTTTACTCTACCATGAATGATTGGTGTAATCAATGTGACATCTTAAAGGATGCTGCACTGACTTTAAATTCAGAAACCAAGATGGCGTTTGGTGTGTACAGCCAATACTGGTACCAAGACCAATAACCAAAGCAGTGTACATTCACAGATCAATCAGCCTGCAAAGCAATACCAATATAGTATTTGTTCTATTAGTAGTTTATAAATAGAAGAATAATTTATTTGACACAAAATGAAATACATGTCATATAACATCTAAGATCAATTACATAAACAACGAAAGAAAACAAAAAAATGTACAATACACAGAAAGATTAATTACATAAATGACAGAGGTATGTCTATGACAGCAAGTCATATTTTAACAATCCCATATACAATACATATGCTTGCAATAGAGCAAATAAAGTAATGTGGATTTTCAGTTAAATTCATTCAAAAAAAGAATGTCAAGTTGATACATTGTGCACAATGATTTGTCTCAGGGTTTTTTTATTAAAGGAATTTTACAATTCTAAATAAACACTGAACACAAAGTAATATCAATGATAAACAACAGTTAGCAAGGCAGTTGGTGGACTTGGCATTTTCACTTCAGTTTCACTGCACAAGCTTTAGTGTGGTATATCAAATGCATTAATTTTTGACTAGGTTACCTAAAAGTAAAATCTGCTGAATTAAATCTCATGAACATGTAAAATAATAATAGAACTTATTAAAATGTTGTTCAACAATTTTTTTAGATTTTGCACACCATGGAATGCACAATTTGTGAAAAGTGGTGCATCTTCAAACCATTGTACTCTTTGATGGCAATGCATTACTGTGGCATAAATTAGTGTAAGGGACACTATTCACAGCAGATTGTAGAGACATTGTAAATGTTGAATTACTAAATCAAACACAGTTGTTATTTTTGATCTACATTACTGTACATTTTTTTCAATATCATTTTGATGTCTCAGAGAACTTTGCTGGAGGGGTGTGTCTTTCTTTATGTTATTGGTAATCACAAATGTTTGTCCTTGAGTTGAAGTATTTTTTGTTTCAATGCATCGACATGTGGTTGATAGTAATCTCTAACTTGTTGAACACTCAGTTCTTTGATTTCTTGCATTGTGTACTGTGACAAAGGGAAATAAAACACTTGTGTGATTGTCTTTGTATTGGAGAAGTTCTATTAACAATGAATGGAATACAGAAGTGACCCAAATAAATTTTCTATTTGTATATAGTAAATATTTATCTGTGTACTCACTGTAATTAAACTAGCCTGCCTTCTAAAATATGCTTTTCTTTCTTCATTTTCAAATACTGGTGGCAGTTTGAGATGAGATTTTGTGAATTGCCCATTCCTTGTATCACCAGTAAGAGCAGGATGAACTGTTACTTC